GGGGACGGTCTTTTTTGACCATCCTTCACCGTTTTTGCCGCATTTTTGGAGTATGTTTCGGGCCTGACCCCCTAATTTTGGAGTGTTTGTAATTTTTCGCCCACAATCCCCCTGTAGGGGGACAGCCCCGACCTAATTCAAACCCGCGTCCAGAGCAACAAACAAAAAACGGTGGTGCAACGAGAAGAGCGAGCAGCGGCAGCTGGGCCTGCTGGCGTCGAGAGGCCCCTCGTCCTCACCGCCGCGGCCGTCGCGTCGGGCAGGCCCAGCCCGTGCGCGTGCGGGACGCCGGCTGGTCACAGAGGCTGGCGACCGCGGGGGGGGTCGGGCACCCCTCCTTGTTTGCAGGGCGCGGCGTCGAATGCCCGGGCACAACAAAGAATCACAACCAAAAATAAGTGGATTGTTCGGGAGGCCCCTCGGGGAAGATCCCATCGACCTCGACACGAGCACTTTGCTTGCGGTTGTGGTCGATGTGGCCGTCCTGGGACGCCACATCGACCACAACCAGCACCAGGCTGGCCTCGGTGTTCTGCCGATTGGTGGCATGAGCAGGACATCCCCCAGGGTGTGTCCTCAATGTGATTCTGGTAGCTTGGGGCCCCCGCAGATTGCACTCTTGCATTTGTGCTCTTGCATTTGGCGTCTCGACGGCAGCCATGCTCTGATGCGTCTCGCGTTGCGGCACGTCTCCACTGTGGATCTGAGCACTGTTCGAGGATGCTGCCGTCATTGTCTTTGTCGCCGTAAGACAACAGCTCGGACGACAGGGGGGACTTACAGCAGCGCCTGGTCATCGAGTTGAGTTACTCGTCCGAGTGCTACTTGGTTCAGTTCGGGCGACCCCTTGAGGAAACCTGATGACGGCACCAGGCCGCCGCCTCGTCATCCAGATAGCCTGGCATCGGCGTCACCCCAACATACACATATGCGATGTTTGCGTCGCCCCCCCCAAAGGGGCGACGCACGCACTGAGAACTCTTGCAGTACATGCGTCGTGGCGGGCGCTTTCTGGCCGCGCCGCTCGGGAAACGATCTACTACAAGGTGGGCGTATAGTAAATGTTCGGGGCGGGCGCGCGCCTCCAAGGAGGACGCACCGCACTGGTACGTCTCTGTGCATTCCAGGTCCGTTTGGCAGCTCTCCTCACTGGCCGCGAGCTCCAGAGGCGAGGAGGAGGAGGAGGAGCAGGAGGAGGAGGAGGAGGAGGAGGAGGAGGAGGAGGAGGCGAGCTTCCTCCCCTGCGCGCACCAGACCAGGGATCGCGCTCCCCGCCACCTCTCGGGTGGGGCAGCCGCGTGGCCGCCCTCGCGCGGTTCCCCTTCGGAGTGGCGCCGTCGCCGATGCACCCGTTGCCTCCTCCGTCCTCCTCCTGCCTCCTCCTCCTTCCTCCTCATCCTCCTCATCCTCCCCCTTCCTCCTCCTACTCTCCTCCGCCTCCTCTGCCTCCTCTCCCTCGCTCCTCCTCCTCCTATCCTCCTCTCCTCCTCCTCATACTCGCTCCTCCTACTCCCTTCCTCCTACATCCTCCTCGCTCCATCCTCCTCCTCCTCCTCCTCCTCCTCCTCCTCCTCCTCCTCCTCCTCCTCCCGCCGCCTCTCGGGTGAGACGGAAAGGTCCAGGCCTTCCGGATGGGGTCCGAGCAGATGGGGGTCGGAGGATCTCGCCGCATCGCTGATGCATCGGCGAAGGCGTGGCTCGATGTGGAGCCCGATCTGCTTCACGTCGACGCCGCCGATGCATCGCCGACGTCGACGATGCATCGCCGGTGCATCATCGATGCATCGCCGATGCATTGACGATGCATCGCCGATGTATCGGCGATGCGGCGCGATCCTCCGACCCTATCTACTCGGACCCCATCTAGGAGGCCTCTAAGAAGGGATTCGGTAGCAACTGTTGGAAGCCTCGTGTGCCCTCTTCATTCAGCCTTTAGCGTCGGCCAGCGTCGATGAGTGGCTGGTCATCGATGAGGCGGCGCCGACGCAGCGTCGACTGGCGTCGAGTTAGCGTCGAGTCAGCGCCGATGAGCGTCCATAGCGTCAATTGGCGTCGTTTCGCAAGAGCCATCAAGATGGTATGGGAGGCTCCCATGCGTTGCCACCGACGGGGGACTGGGAAAGGGAGTGTGTGTGTGTGTGTGTGTGTGTGTTCGAGAACTGCTGCATGCGGAAGGCTTCGACCCCGCTTCTGGGCACGCTCTGT